ATTTTAACACAACGTGGTGCGATCATCCCCCTTGCGCGGAGCGAGGGTTCTCCTTCCCGCACAACATGATCTACTCGGCCACCAATATGGTTACCGCCAAAATAAAAAACGGAGGTAAAAAAAAAAAAACGGTAACCTGGTTGCCGAGTTTACGAAGTGAATTGGCTTGTTTTACAACGTTGCCAAGCGACGAAAACCCAACCCCGATGGCAAACACCGGGAGGAGCCGGGGGGGGATCAGTACACTGCTAGCTATAGTATAGTCACCAGAGACCCAGAGATGACACGTCCGAAACAAAGCCCGGCCTGCTATGCCTCCACGGTAAACCATCTCGGCAAAAAAGCAAAAAAGAAAGCACAAAAAAAACTCTACCAGGGATCGGTACTCCGCCGCTTCCTGAAGTCCCAGGCGCGCCCGCATGTCGTCGTTTGCCCCCTGGCACAGCTGGTAGAAGACGTGGTAGCTACGCTCGCCTGCGAGCTGTCTGGCCACGCGGGTCTTCTCGAGTAGGTAGGTCGTCACCCGGCCTCCGGTGACCACGCCGCTAGAGTGAAGGGTCACCTGTCGCCATTGTCATGGTGGTCACGCGGGTGAATATTATTACGGTAGTTTTCATTTTTGCACAGCTGTAGTGTATAGTTTTAGATTTGTTTTCTCAGTTTTTTGTAGTAGCAGCGGCAGCAGTTTCTTTGGATTAGTGGCTCCAGTAGTAGTAGTGGTGTCCATAGCTCCAATAGTTCTAGGTACTGTACTGCACTGTACTGTACGTTGTTCGTTTTTCGTGCTGCTGCCTGTTCTAGAATTTCGTCTACAGTATACCGTTGTCTTTCTCGCAGTAGTAGATTCTTCGTGTTCTTCGTCATATCAGGATCCTTCCACCAAACCCAAACCTCTGACCCCCTGTACACCGTCCCCCTCAGGGTAGGCTAGTGTCATCGTAACTCCTCGGGACTCAAGATACAATCTGGGCGAGTACATGTTGTGAAATACACACCAACTCGTACGGATATATAAGAGTGACGTTCGCCTCGGGAGCCGATTCCCTCTCTCGTCGTCTCATGTAGTAGTAAAAGCTGGGTGTACTGCTGTGCCATCAACCTCAACAGGAGCAATCTCCCTTGTCCATTTTCGCACGGCAGCAGTGCGCGACACCCTTCCTCACCTGGATGTACTTTCCGAAGCGACTCGAGTTGTGGTTGCGGGTAGTCTTGGCGTTGGCGAACGCCTCCATAACGGGGTTCGACATCACCACGCTGTCCTCAACGCTGAAACGTCCCCCGATGCTATTGCGCCGCTGGAAAAAACAAACGGCGATGGTAATAATCCTAGCGACGGTGTTCAACAACATCAAAGTACTCTACAGGAAGATGAGAGACGAGATACAAGGGACATGCGAGGAAATACCGTATGACTACGTAGCATCACCCAGACAGACTTCGCGGGCGCGAGGTGGTGGTGCTTACAGGGCCTGTGTTGAACAAGCAGTTGCGTTCTTGCAGAAAGAAACGATTTCGGATGTTTCGATCGTGCCGTGCCCAATTNGGGGGGGGGGGGGGGGGGGGGGGGGGGGGGGGGGGGGGGGATTCATGACACGAAACCCCTTTTAACAGACATCGCCACAACGGGAGCGATTTCAGCGCACACAGGCGTCCGTTGAATCCCATGCCACTGGACCTCGCTTGCGCCGCGGTTCACAAACAGAGAAGGAGAAGAAAACAAAAGCGAGAAAAACTCGAACAACCCCTTGGGCGCCGACGGGCAAAACAATAAAAAAAAGGAGAAAATTATTAAACGTACTGTTCAACAACAAGGCGTGAGTGCCAAACCGGAACAACACGCTCCAAACATCCGAACGAATAAAGAGACTGGCATGTTTGGGGCGTTGGGGACAAGTACTACCTACCTACCTACCTACCTACCTACCTAACTAACCTAACACAATATACACGCAAAAAAATCAGTCCGTCCATACCAATCCCGATCTCCCCGATGCCCCTCTGGCGATCCCTGATGGGACCCCCCCCCCCGCCCCCTTTCTCCCATCCCCCGTCCCCCCCCCGCCCCCACGGATTGCCTGCTCAACACTGGGTACCGCCTCCCTCCGCTCCTTCTCCATGGTGCTGCTGCGGTGCGACAGGTACGATAGGAGGTACTTGGTGGTTTCTGTTTTTCCTGCCCCGGACTCTCCGCTGATGAGCACGGACTGGCTGCGATGGTCGGTGATGAGCCCCCTGTCAATCCGAGGCGACCGCGGCGGCAGAACAAGCAGCAGCAGCAGCAGGAGCAGCCCGCAACCGTAGCAGCAGCAGCCGCAACCGCAGTAAAAGCCGGAGCAGCAGAAACGGCGGCGACCGCAGCAGCAGAAACAGTAAAGGACAGAGACGGACGTGCGCATGACCGTGCGGCGTAGAAAAGAGTAGCTGGCGATCAACGCATAACCTGGTACAGCGGTACCGGAGCGCGTTGCGCGATTGGGGGGCCCGAAAGCAGTCGTTCATGCGAGCGGGCACAACAAGAGAGAAACGTGTAGCAAACTCGCTGTCGGTCGGTCGTTGCTATCGCACCAGATCCTCCCCAAAAGCATAACAAAGGCGGCGGACGCCGGCTCTTTTCGCGGCCTGTATGATGCGCCACGCGCTGGTCCCTCACGAATGATTCCAGCGGCGCCGGTGCGCGTACACACTCGTAATCTCTTCATCTACTAACGTTCCTGTCATAAATCCGGAGAGTAGCCTAGATCATCGCCGTTTAGAAACGTTTTCCGTTTTCAACCGCGCTGAGACTGGCGCCTTTTCAATGGCCAGCCGGTTAGCGCGGTCGATGCTACGAAGAACACACACACACGCGCGCGCACCCCCCCTCACATGGCCATGTAGAAGCATTTTCTGTTCAACCGCACCGAGATGGACGTATTCTCATTCACCAGCCGGTTAGCGCGGCCGATGCCAACAACAACAACAACAACAACAACAACAACAACAAAACACATGCGCACCTGTAAGCAAGCTCCATGAGCTCGTACGGGTGAGGCGGCGCGCCCGCGTCCGTCGCCATGTTGGCGTAGAGGTTCATGCAGTTCTCGTCGTACAGCGACGGGATGAGCACGTACGGGTTGATCGCGGCCAGGATAGACCCCACGGAGGTGTAGATGTCTTGGTTGGCGTACCGAGTTCTGCGGTTTGTAAAAAACAAAAAGAAGTGTGGTAAGGCTGTTGTCGGTAATTTTACAATATTTTTGAATAAAATGTAGCATGTAGACTACACCCGTTCGAGATATTACCACAGTCGAAAGAGATGTATTCAAGCGTTGACAGTTTTTACTCGTTGGCGATGAACTGTTGTGCTTGTGCTAGTGTTTGTCGTTTCTGAATCTTTGAATCCGTTCCAATCTTTGCGCGGTACACCTCGTAGCATCCGTACCGGTCCAACTGACGCGGAAGCCGTTCTTGCAGGACCGGCTACCCATAGAGGGTACGTGGGTCGTGCTGGTGGATGAATCGAAGCAGGGGCTCGACCAATCAAGTTACAGGCATAGAAATACAAAGGAAACGGCGGGACAGACAACCTTCACATCGAAGACAGGCTGGCTACAACACAACCACAAGATTAGCCACGGTGTTACATGCGACGTATACGACCGCACAGTGCAAAGAGATCTGGCTGGCCGCAAGAAATTTGTGGAGAAATCTCGGAAGCAACCCAGGACGCAAACCATGTCATCCGTCCATCCGTCCTCAAGTACCTCAAGTACCTCAAGTACCTCCAAGTACCTCAAGTAGTGTTGTGCCCCAAGTTGTGTGCAGTACCAAAAGTTGAGCGGTACCTCAGATAGTGCTGTACCTTAAGTTGTGTAGTACCGAACCCACGGTGAGAACGTCCATCTTCACCATGTCCTCCACGCCCTTCAGGCAGCTCGGGTCCCCCCGCTGCAGCCACTCCTCCGACACCTTGGATACCGTCTGATCGACCGAGCCACCAAAACAGCGACAAAAAAAACAAAACATTCAAGTTACACGAGTTGGACTATACGCATTAAAGTCGATACAGTATTACTTCAACAAAATACATGGGTGAGGCAGCTATTCCGTAATGTGCGGGTGATTTTTTGGTACTACTTTTCGAATTTCCGCTAGACACTCCTCGATTACCGTTGTTGCCATCTGATTGGCCGACCACTACTGCAATAAAAAAAGAAGGAGCTGAGTGTGAGAGCCAGTTGTTCGGCTCGTGCGGGTGGAAACGGGTATCCACACCCTGCTACTAACAGTTTTCAGCAGACGACTTGCTCAAGCATGATGTTGCCTTTTTCGTGGTGCTGAGACCCAAGCAGTAGTAGACATCAACACTCTTCTTCTTCCAGCAGTGGTAGATATCAACATGTAGCAACAGTCAAGAAGGACGCCACCCTCAAACCGTTGAAGCGCCTGCGGCAAATCACCTCCATTTGCTTATCCACGTGCTCCGCGCCAGGTACTACGGACGGTAGAAGGTACCATGCTACTGAGCAGACACCGGAACAGCTTCAACGCGAACACAAACACAACAAACATCAACAAATCGAGAGCTGCTGCTTTCGGCAAGCGACGTCGGGTAGATCGAGCTTCGCTCGAAAGAAAGCACCCCTAACAGTAGTAGCATGGGCGATGAGCAACTACTGTTAGGGGTTTTTCTACGCCCCACGACATGGCGGCGCAGATACTTCCCCCCCCCGACATTGCGTCCATGTTGTTAAAGTTGAGAAGAGCAACCAACACACGTGACGATCTCAAACGCACACGCTCTCTATGAGCCTACCGGTGCTTAAACCCGCTCTCTCGCTCTGAATACTGCCGTTGACGCATCGCAGAAGAAGGGTGCTGGCCTCCGACTACAGGGACCCTAATGAACCGGCAAACATCACCCGATACCCCGCAGATTTCAGCAGTAGCAGACAGAGAGGCATCCCCTCCCCCTCCCCTCCTTTGTCCCTGTTTCTCACCGCGAAGAATATTAGGGATGGTTGTGATGGTTTCCAAGACCTCAGCTCTACAACCGTTTGCTCTTGGCTTTTTCCAATATGCCCCCGTTTTCAACGTTCTTTGCTTTTGTTGTTGCTGTCGTGACAAAAAACGTTCCACTAAAAAGTCTCTGCTCAGTACCTTCTAGCGTCGGTACCGAGTACACCCGACGCGGACGGACGCGTTTCGTGGCCACAGGCTAGCTTCCCCAAAAAGGGTACACAAAGCCGAGGGAGGAGTTTTGATTGGCCAAACAGCCGAATCCACGACAACACCGATAAGGAAAAACGCGGTATGATTTGCAGAGGGAGGAAACTTGATTGGCCAACACAGCAGAATCTACGATAAGAAAAACCGCCGCGCACCTCAGTGCGTCCGTCCTCGTGCACGAGCTCGAGCGACATGTCCTCCCCCTGGCCGTTGGTGGCCCCCACCGTCGCGGGGAGCCATCCCTCCACCTCGTCCTTGACGAACACCAGCTGTCCCGACTCGAGCGACATCCTTCCGTGTCCCCAACCAACCAATCAAATCAAACCAAAGCGCTGGAACCCCCGTCGCCCCTTCCAACAGCCTTGTTCTTCTTGTTCCTCCCAAGGTCGACGCCGCCGCCGACTGCCTGCTCTCAAGACCTTGGGCTTCCCCTGGGACAGCACCCCACGAACGCGCACGCACACAGGCCCCAAAGCACCAATCCAATCCACAGCCCCCCCGGCGGGTCCCTTTTTTCAGAATAATGCACGACGAGAGGGGGGAAGGGCAGGGCGTGTGAAAGAAAAGCACGCAAACAGTTAGTCGCGGGAGGGAGGAGCCCCACTAGCAAGCACACATGCATACCCTACGGGTAAACAAAGCTACGTGACCCCTTACCTCGAGCAAGTTCTGGAAGGTCGGCCTTGTTCAAATTGAGTTCTCCCAACAGCACCAGGCCTGTTCTTTTCGGGTATGTTATGCATGCTGCTACTCGGCGTACAACTTTGGTAGGTGTATGCATTGAAGCATCTAGCGACAGGTCAGTTGTTGTGTTTCTTTATTTATTCTCTAAACGGAATCTCGGTGTATCACGCCTTCCCAGTCTGAAACCCACAACTGGGCAGGCAGACGGAGACAACAGTAGTTTCTCGGAAAGGCAGACCAACTCGTTTTGTCGCAGAATGCCCGCCTCAAAGAAACCCTCGTCTTCATGCTAACAATTAGAATGCCCCGCCCGTCACAGCCAATGAGGCGAGCACCGGAAGGTGATGAAGAGGCGAGCACTGAGAGGTGACGGTCAAGTGAGTTAGCCTGCGTTTTCCAACTCTGCTCGCAGCAGGTCTTGCTGTGTCCCATGAAGACTATATACGGCATGTTGGAACTCCCAAGCCGAGGAAAATATTCCATACCAACAGTGTAAATGCTGGCACGCGCCCGGGACTTTTTCGGCGAGTGGAAATGTTGGAACACCCCAAGAAAAAAAAACGAATACGAACAGCAGAACGCTGCTGTTACAAAACACAATGAAGTGCCTGGCAAAAATTGGCACGCCTAATATAGCGGCTTTGGTACGTGAAAGATATTTGAACCCGCAATCTGGAAAGTCAGGGAAAGATGTTCTGTTACAGTGCAACAGCTGTCCCGAGGTGACGTCGAGGTTCACACGCTCAAGAGGGTATTGTACACGGGACGAGAAAAACAAGCCTTCATATTGACAGCTGCGTGCCGCACCTCGAGTTTTAGCATGGACCCCCGCTGCAGATTTATCACTCTTAAAAAAAAAAAAAATTGCAAGGGCCATCAGATACAAAATATCACAGCCAGTGGTTCCTACAATATATTTTGAAACAGAGAGGAGAGCGAGGTGCAGCCGGCGCTTTGGGCAAACAACTTTTAAACATGGCCATCCACTGCAAGAGCATCACACGGGGAGAAGGATATTGCGCGATCATGCACACGCGCCATGGTTCATACGAACCAGCACAACGCCGCTCATGCTGGGGGGTTGAGCTCAGGATTGAGAGCGCCCTTGACGGTGGTTGTGTATTATTTTGCCACATACTGCTATGCATCCACGGCGCAGACCGGCTGACCAATCAAAACGTGCCGGTCTCAAGGCGGCTAACAATAGAACACCCAGAAGTACGGGGAAGGTGTGTCTGCTAACGCTACGAACCATCCTTCTACTTCATTGCGGAGACATTTGGCCCCGCAAGTGTGTGTGTTGTCTTGTGTAGAACTAGCGACCGAGTCAACCGGCTGAACAAGGAAAATATGCCAGGCTCAGTGCGGCTGAAAACAGAACATGATTCTAACGACCATGGACCTGCGACCCCGGGGGCGTCATGGGGGAGGCTTTTAAGTTGCTCTCCGGATTTAAGGCGGAAACGGTAGCAACAGAAGATTTTTGCTGTGATGCCTATGATATTTTCTGGATGTTGTTGTGATGTCGACAACAAACAGCAATACAACAGCTGGCAAGAGGGAAGTGCAGGTCTGTTTTCGTTGCGGGTGTATGGAATTAGCCTAACCATTTTTCGCGCTTTGCTGGACGAACAAATATTATTACCTAGCAATTCAGAGCATTCTGGGGATGCATCTTTACACGGCAATACGCCCGTCTTGATGATACGCAGGCGAATCTTGGTCTTAGCTACAACATGCACGAGAGCGCTTCTTGACACTTTTGTTCATGGGTAATTTTATCTATATTTGTAGAACATGACCATGATCACAAGGTGCTCAATCGAACAAATGGGTAGAGCTTGCTTGACCCATGACAACAGGTGCTCGGTCGAGGGCAAGTTGCACTGCCGTGAACAAATCAGCAGTTCGAGTTAGGTTGGTTACCCCTAGAGGAAAATGAGAAACGACGCAAGCGCAAAACGAGAAAAAACTTGGTTCTGAATGATGGCATATTCTGCTGCTGTATTCCATCTCGTTGTGGGTCTTTAGTCAATCCGGGCTCGATCCGCTCGACCTGTCGATGGATTATGGATTGCAGTCAAATTACACCAGGGGTCTCGTCCGTTCTGCTGACAAAGGACATGCTCTTGTGGCCCAGACGTCCAGACCAGAAGCGGACGTGTGCGACGCACCCTCTGCCGTTGTTGTGCTCATGCGAGCAGCAGCAACAGCACGGTTGGTGCGTAGGCGGCGGGATGGTGGTGGTGGATGCCAACATGAGGGCTCTCGACACTTTAAACTCATTACCTACGATGCAAGGTAGGCAAGACACCGGGCTGCCGTCGAAATGGAAAACGCCGTCCGTGTTGGTCGAACATTACAGTACCAACTCCAGAAGGTTGGGTTCCCCCGCCCCGCAGGCGTCTCTGGCGTCTAGTTGCGTCAACCCTCGGGCGAGATTCTGGAGCCGGCTTTCCAGAATATGCAAAATACCACCCATGGAAGAATAGTCTTGGTGTCAATCGGAGACAGAAACATTTTTGGACGAGGGGTACTGCTGTAGTGAGGCCAGGAGAAACACCACCGGAAAACTAGACAGCAAAGTACCAGTCTTCCCGCCCGGCGGGCGTGTCGGCGTGCGTTGGAGGAGGGAAAGCGGCGGCCAGCACAACAAGGAGCAACTGCGGCGTCTGTGTTTTAGGAACGTTCAACACCGTGTAAAACGACGTTTTGAAAGAGGAACGTTCAACCCCTAGCTGGGACCGTCGCTTTTCCTTGCTCGGAACAGAACCACATTGACCAAACCGAATAGTTGGTTCTGAGACGCACACAAACACACAAACACACAAACACACATGAAGAGCGCGAGGGCGAACGAGAGGGTGATACTCGTGGACCGTTGTCGGCGATGTCAACAGAAACAGCCACGGGGAGCTTGGCTATCATCACGGCTTCTTGACGGGAAGACTCTCCGGCGTGGCCGCCAAGGCGAGCACCGTAAACGGAAATGAGGGTCCCTGGTTGCAACAGCAGTACTGCTGCTACTACAGACACCAGCATGATGGACGGCGCATTTACACGAGGCCCGAGGTGCCAGCTAGAAAGACGATTCTTTCGTGCCAAAGGTGAGCAGAGAAGCAACGCCAGATCCTGTGAGGGAACACACCCAACGGCACTACGGAGATCGCACCAGGGTATGCATGAGAGCCAAAGAGGGCCGAAAGAGTTATTATTAAAAAAAGTGCAAAAAAAAACACTTCCTGTCTCTCTCTGCTCCTCCACGAAACGTGTCCAGGGGTGCTCTCCCCCTGGACCCAACACCCACGAAAGATCTCAGACTCACCTTGAGTGCTCGTGCAAACAAGGTCGCCCTTCTCAGCTCCTGGTTTCCCGGTGTGGCCTTGATCCCCGCTCCCTCGGCCGTCTTCTCCGGTCGCTGTTGTGGCGTTCATTCACGGTGCCCCCGGACAACCGGCTGCAAAAATCCGCTGAACCCCGGCCAGTTTCGGAGATTTCGGAGATCTCGATTCGCATGTGCGTGTTTGAGTTCCTTGTTGGCTCTCTCGCGCTCTAGAAACGCGCGACGGGGGGCGCGGCTGCCGCAGGGAAGTCACATAGGTCGCCGAAGAGGACCATTGTCGTCTTGATTGACGACACCCACTCGTTTGTCTGGTCCTTTTCCCGAGAGGCATGCCGGCCCCTGATCGACGACAACACGAAGACGGCAAGATAAACGTTGTAGGATATAGGATCCACCTGGTCAGGTCTCCACGCGTACATAGCGCCGTTTGGAGCCATTGCATGCTTCCCCGTACATGGTATGTGTATCTCTTGGAAAAACACGCTATTGCATGGCATGATGCCGGGTGCGCACGTGGTTGTTGTGCCGCCTCACACCCCGCACTGCTGGTTTAGCTCTCGCCATCTCTCGTGCAAAACATAGACTGACTTGACTACATTGATTGTATAGTCTACCAACCTCACACCCCACGGCGTCCCTTCGCCCTAGGAACGGATCTGTCGCCATGAACGCTCGATTGACGCTTTTCTCCTCTCGGATCCGACATTTCCCCTAGTTTTAGCTACTGCCCTTTGGACGCTGTGCTGAGAACTTGAACATGTACTTGAAAGTGTGTAGCAGTCATCTTTCTTATCTCTCTGACCCAATGCCATGCTCTGCGACAGCTATTCATAGAAGTACACTGGTGGTCCGCCTTGCAGCTTGCTGTAGGCTGAACAAGTGTTGTAAACACAAGAGAATGCATGCACTATGTAGTACCCATGAAGGGCATCGTACATTTTTACACCTACCAGCCATAAATAAATGTGCAGGGTCTGATGTGCATCGTCAGCATGTCTCGGGCTTTGCAACACGTTCCTGGTGCCGCACCTTTATCCTTTTTCTGCTGTGCTCAGAGAAACAACCGTTGTATGCTTTCGACTATGGAGACGAACAGCAGGAAGTACTGTCATCCATCACCTCCTGTTCCCTATTGTCTAGACACCTTTCAAAGGCAGAACTCGTCTCAAGAGGCGAATGTCCGACATCACAAGTTCATCCACATCAGGGTACACACGAAAACGAAAGTGATCGACTCACAAGAGGATGTGTTACTTGTGCGGCTTGCGAAAGACTATAGAATGTATGTTCCCGCCATAGACTAAGAGCAGAAACGACAAAAGACTGCTTCGGTAAAGCGACATGCACACGGCCAGACATGGAGAATAATGTCTGCCCTAATTAAAGCTACAGTTAGACCTCGAGATTACAGTTTTTTTGGGCGAAAAAAGTGACCGTGGTCGTTAGCCGAATAGACTTTTAAAAACTGAACGGAACCAATAAAATCACCGCATTTGATGCATACGTCACAGATTTTGCAAGCATTTTTTGTAAAAAAATGTTTGAGCTGGGCGAAGTTTGTGCGTTCTGCATCTGCAGCAACCGCAGCTGCATATAGCTGCTACACAGCTGCCAAGCAGCGCCCCGCAGCCTTATCGGTCGCAGACCGTCACGGGACCTGCTGAAATGGCTGACGACGCACACGCACAGCCGCAGCAGCAGCCGCAGCCGCAGCAGCCGCAGCAGCAGCAGCAGCAGGTTGTATGGCAATCGGTCGCGCTCGCACCGCCACGAAAGAGGCGGTGGCATCGACTCCCAGAGAGAGAGATCAACGCAAGCGCGACCACGATTACAAGGCTTACGTAGAGAAGGTTAGGCTGAACTACAAGGACACGGCGTGGTACTACTCTTCGGAGTCAGAGAGCGAAGAGTCAGATTCAGAGAGTAGCTCAGGCAGCGATGATGCGTGATACATGGCTCAGGCTGCGGTGATGCATGCTGCTGCTGCGCAGATGATG